TTGGAGGCGCTGGGCGAGACTTGGGAGGAATTGCCAAGCAGGGAAATTTGTGCATGTTGTTCTCCTGAGTTCCGTCATAGCATTCCGTTCAAGGAACGGTGAGCCTGTCATCAACGGCGGCCATAGGTGTGATCATCAACACCGCCTCCCCTGCTCGCCTTCCAAGATCTTGTCTGCATCTTGTACGCGCAAGCTCGATCTTTTTTCTTACTATGAGCCACCAAACCGAGAAAAACCCGTTGTCCATAAGTCCGTCCCATCGGATACGGATTGTAATGAAGGGGACTTGCACAGCCCCCTCCACCAATATCCCGGCAATGAAACGGCAGCCCCCGCTTGACTTGGAAAAGCTCGAACATCTCTCCGGTCCACGTCTGACCAGTCCGTTTTGTCCATGTCGGTCGCTATATCACGACTCGTTTTAGGTTGGATATCGATAACACAAAGCAAGAGATGTCATTTGTTTATTTATCTTTTCCTTGGTTCACAAGAGGCAGCCTTCATGATGTCTGCAGATGCAGTGGCGGCCAATCAGATCATGACCCCTCCCGCTGATGACATGCAGCAGGCGCAAGGTGGTGCTGGTGAGGTGTGCCCTCCAGCCGCCCTTTCAAACCATGAGGGTTAGGCCCACGCTGTCAAGTAGCGCGCTCAACCATATACCGACTACCTGCATTCAACGGTCAGCCTCCGGAGAGCCTGTCCGGCCATCAAAATCGGGCTCTTAAATCGAGCAAACATGCTCCGCCTCATCTGTCAAAATATTTTTGTTGTCTCGTGAAAGGGGCCAAAAGACCAAAAAATGATAGCCACAGGGACCCTTGGCGAGGAGAATTAGATGGGACGTTTCGCATGCTGCAGTTCCCGAAAGACGCCAATGTTTGAGAATGGAAGATCGCCATGGATGTGCATTCGATGGGACTATTGACTGGGCTGACAACTCTATTTCTCTCTTTTATTCCATCCTCAAAACTCTGGAGCACAACGCCTCTGGAGAGCAAACACCAAGGCTGCATAAATTATGCATGTACTTTATGCGCGATGCACAACGCTTACCGCACATCAAAAAGCACGGGCTTCACATGCTGCATCAGCACTTGATATCCCGCAACCCTGCTACTGAAGCTCTATCAGCAACGTATTGTACCTTGAAAACTTTAATTAATGGGTGTTACGGGCCCTTCGAAGTGGACATGAAGCATCAAGCCGCCCAGTTCTTATTATTCTAGCCCAGCCCTGGCCCCTGTAATTAACGACGGCGAGGTGGATGGTGGAAGAGTCGTTTCTACGGCAAGTGCTTTGGGCTGTTGAGCCACAGCCACGACTGTTGCACTCCAACACGTCAAAGTCTTCATCTTCGGCCCATTTTAACCGGGCAAGCTTTGGTTTTTCATACAACCATCACAGCCGTCGACCACCACAGCGGTTATTCACACAGGTATGTACTTTCATGGCCAAATTAGCAGCACATCGACTTGCCTAGATACACGCGAGCGATGCCAGCGACGTAATATTGGTGGCTGTGGTGCTGCTGGATGGACGCGGTGGTGGTGGACGAACGTGGTGGCACAGGTGATATCAGTATCAACAAACATCATCACTAGAGTGTAGCTAAGTTACCTTACCATGGGACAGCAAGTAACAGAGCCAGATCACAGATGAGATACCAAATGCCCAAGTATATTCATGCTATATGATATGTTGAAATACAGCACTTGTTTGTGGATTTTACAGTATTTTCCTCCTTGTGGCCAACTAAACCGATGGAAGTTGTGGGGAACGATAAAAGGGAAAACGGGGTCTTGGATGCCCATAAAGGGCTCCCCTCGCCATGTACTCGGAATGCTCTGTTCTTCCCTTTCTCAAGTTCAAGTCAAACAGTCAAAGTCAATATACTGGTTTACCACACTTTTGTCCAGGGCATAATTCCCTGTAGTTCAGTGCCTACCATTCTATTTGCAGGGCATAGTTCCCTACTTCTTTTTCTTTTGCAGGGCATAGTTCCCTATACTTGCCTTCCTTCGGTGTCACCTCACACTGTCGTACCTCGCAGTCAAAGAAACCCAGTCTTCAGATAATTGCTTCCGACCTACCCGGCAGGGCCTAATCAACTAGCCTGCCGGCGACATATTTTAACAGAAGGTAAATATTGCTCCGGTAGTAGTGAATCATGAAGTTGCCAGTGATATGGAAGCCGTGGCCATCACAAATAAGACGGGCATCAGAGGGATCCTCAGGTTCTGTATTTGGTATCTGGCACACTGGCACCCCACTTCTTGGGGTGGCGCCACATTTGCTTTCAACTACCGCACGGCCCTGCCTGCAGGCCTGATCAGACAAAGCTCTTTTCCATCCTTTGCTCTTCAGCCTAAATTCAGTCAACCAAGTGTGGTAATACAGTAGCTCTGTCCCAGAGAACTGACTGCCCGTGACAAAGACAACCAAAGGCGAGCTTATTGGAGGTCCAGCCGTTCTCAGAGACGGCCACATACTACTCCTTATCGAATTGGTCCTTAAACCACTGCTCCTGGAGGTTAACCCCTTAAAAATGACGCCCAGGTGGAGCACTCGGCCGTCCTGTGAGATACACACAAGGATAGTGGTCCACATTCTTCTTCCGTTCTGTTTAACGTATACAAACTTTCTAGACCGCCTGCTAGACCCTATGACAAGACCATTCTCACCCTGGCCCTCCATAATGCCCATCTCATCTTTGTTGCACTTGTTCTTTGACTTAATCCAGGTCGCGGTGTCATACAGACCAAAGCAGGTGTTAATACTGGCGGGCGCAGCTCCGTTGATCCTGGAATAGCTAATCTCTTTGCCCAAATTTGTTTTAATCTCTGGGTAACGGCCAATGAAGCGGGTGACCTAGTGCTTGCCTGGCGGTTTCTTTCCTTGCTCTTCGAATAAAGACTTCGCCAGGGCCCGCACTTTACCGTGGGTAGGAGCGTAGCCCAGGTTTTCCTGCGAGAAGGATACATTGAACAATGAGGTCTTCTTGCGCGGAAGAAAGACTGTTCATTTTCATGGACAAGTTTAACCAGGAGTGCTCCATGGATGCGGTGTTCCAGTGTTGACTTTTGGACATGATACTTTTTGGTCGCGGCGCGCAGGCCGATGCCAGCGTTAAAGTCTTTTCGACATTTTTGAGGTCATCCTCGATAAAAGCCTTCAACGTGGGATCACCAGAGTTAAAAAAAAAATTAATAAATAAATAAAAAAAAAAAAGCAAAGAAAAAGCTTCGTTTTTAGTATTGTGGAAGGGAAAAGGGAAGAAGAGGTGCATTGTGGGAGGTGAGGGTTTGGGAAGGTTATCTGTGGTATTCAGGGGCTGAACTTTGATAGGGAAAGTGTCCCACAACTGTGGGTGTCCCGGAACCCCGTTATCCAACCCACTATTGAAATATCTATCATACAGGACTTTATAAGCATACCTTGCATCTAGTAAAGGTAAAAGCCGTTACATAGTCTCATATTAGTATAATCTGAGCTGTTCTTCGTCTAATCCCAGCTAGTTCTATCTACCACCCCAGCTTTGTTTGTATTAATCTTAGCTTTTTCTATCTCTTATCTTAGTTTCATATCCATTGATCCTAGCTTTCAAAGTCTTAATTTAAGACTTGATCTACGCTTTTGCTGTCTCTTATCCTAGCTTTCTATCTAGTTTACCACTACATGGGTCACTACCACGTAGCTTACCACCATATGATGCCTCTTTTAAGACTTCACAGACCTGGCGGTCTCCTTACTTTTGGCAATGTTAACGTGGCAATGACTTCACTTTTGGTGAGCCGTGGCGGTAGTGACATTGTGTCACGGCGGTTGCACCGTCGATCCACTGATAGAGCTTAGCACGTGCCGAGCACGGGCCCACGCAACTAGAAAGATTCTACATCTCGCTGCCGCGAGACCCGTTTGTAGCTCTTTGAGCTACGTCTTGACAATAGAGCCTGCCCGTACCCGACGGAATAGAGCCCAGGCTGTAGCTTAGCTGAATACCACTGCCATTGACCTGTCGACCTGTGCTACCCGTGACGCATTGCCTTGATCATTTGATGTTGGTGTACCCAGTTCGGGGGTACTTGGAGCAGGCAGTGTTCTTCTCGACTGGCAGTTCTTATCCATTATTGACCGCTGGCAGTCAGTGGCAGTGAGATACAGCCCGCTCTCTAGTAGCAGCAAAGTGGATGCTGTTGGTGGTGATGATGATGCACTGTGTTGTGGTTGTACCAAGCCGACCTCTCTTTTTCACGGCAGTGAATATTGCAATGTCCTCACTTTTGGCGCCGGCGAAGCAGACGACAGCAAATAATGATATTATCCCAGATGCCGGTATGTATGTTAAAGAGACTTTAAAAGGGGGGGGCACGCGTCCACATGCGTTTCTCGGAAAACCTCGCCATCACCGCCGTACTTGCAAGCCTGTCAATATCTACCATATTTCGCATCGCGTAGTATTCTTTCGTATACAAAATCACATACAAGTCCAATGTTTTAAAATCTCAGCATCAAACTATAATTTTAACGCATGCGATTCTCACTGCCCACAAGATAATGCAAGCTATGCCCTCGCCTGACCTCCTCGTCAACCGCATAAATTGCTCTCCTATAAAGTCTCATTATATCTTACGAAGGCCCTGTTATCTGTTAACTTTAACGTTGCAGTCTTTATCTAAGCTTTTAACACCAACTATCTAAGCTTACGATGTCTTTCTGTCTGAGCTTTTAATATTATATATTTGAGCTTCTGGCACAGGGCTATCTGAGCCTGGAATTTTATATATAGTTCAAGATAGAGATAATGCTTCAATTAAAACACCCAAAGGTGTAAAAGAAGGATCCTGTCTCTGCTTGGCAGGTGGGGAAAATATAACACAAAGATAGTAGATGAGTCCCTCCCTACTCCCGGAGCCCTATGTGATGTGGTGGTGGTGGTGATGCTGTTATAAAAGTCCAATGTTGAAACAGCAATTATCACAAATCAACAACGCAATAAAGGGCCGCTGGTCTAGTGGTATGATTCTCGCTTAGGGTTCACCCTGATGTTTACAAAGTTGGTTATTCTTCTGAATATACACTTGCGAGAGGTCCCGGGTTCAATCCCCGGGTGGCCCCAGCTTCTTTTCTCTCATTTTTGCAGTGCATTTTGTTTTTGCCTTTTTGATTTTAAGGTGTGGAACTTTCAGCTCCGCAGCTCGAGCTGGGGCTCGGTGTGACTCCACAAGTGTGAGGTGGGGGCCGGATGTTATCAGTCCAGGAAGCTGGGTAGGATGCAACAATACTATGAGAGATGTTGCCTGTTTTGGATACAAGATAGACGGGAAAGAAGGGGAAATTGGCAGGTAACATTTGAGAGCGTTGGACAAAATCTCCAACAGATGAGCGTAATAAGCACCTTGGGCTTCCGTTAGTGATGACGAGCAAAGCTTGATGGATATCCTATGCCTTGCTGATACAATTGTTGACTGGTAACAGGCCGGTTCAGCTCTCCCTGGGGCAAGACCGAGCTGCCTCTTGATCACCCTCAGTCTGCCTTTCCTTTTCTGCCCTTCAACAGACTCCCTACATCCGCCTTCGACGCCGCAAAGCCCAAGCTCCTGACAGGTCCAATCGAACCATCTATCCAAGATGAGCACTCCTGAAAATACCGTCCCTTCAACAAGAACTTTGACTGACAAATGATGGGCTCTAGAAAAAACATGATATGACCAGCCGGTGGCCACCCCCCCCTATGACCTACACCCCCCTCCTTGCAACAACAAAAACAAGAGGGAAAAAAGGACAAAGAATTGATAACTTTGCCAATTGTAACCGAAGAGAATGACAGTGAAAAAATTTCACAATACTGTAGTGGGATCATGCACAGTGTATGAGAAGAAACTGACAGAAAAAAGACAAAGGGAACTATGGGTTGTTTTGTTGTTTTGGAGATAGGTGCCTCATCGGGTACACACACACATGCGATATGGCTTCTTGCTCGGGAGGTCGGCACAGAAAATTGGGGAACTTTCCCCTAAGAACTGCATGTGCTTGGGCTTGGTGAGGAGAAGATGAGAATGAGGCGAGTTGCAAGATGATTGATCAGAAAATGAGGATACAATAGAAGAGACCTGGATGGAAAGTGTGTTGAATAGAGCTGAGTCGAAGCGAGTTACAAATTTCACCAGAGGCAGGCGGTAGAATGATGGAGACAACAACCGACGACGACGAGACGCAAGGCTGCAACTCACCGAACCAATTGAACCCAATAATGTGGTAAGTCCGAGTCGGCTGCCTCGTGAGGGCCATCATTGAGGCCCGAGAAGCACCTCGAATGCTGAGTGGAAGACGTCGTGCATGATGTGCATATGTTGGTTCGAGACACGGTCAAGTTGGGAAACTAAAGTTGTCATTAAGCGCGGGGCCTCCCTCTCCCAACTAACGGCAGATGGACGTGGATCGTTATAAAAAAGCAGCGATGCTCTGACAACGGTGTGTCTGGGAGAACCAAGCTTTTGGACGACGTTTGGACCCCAAGATCTGGAGCCGAGGGGGGTTGCTACGGGAAGGTCAAGACGGACATAATGCTTTGCCGCAAAAGCGGTGCGCTGCCGTAGGTGCTGCAAAAATAGAAAACAGACTGAGACATGCTTGACTGGACGTGCAGATGGTTGAAGATTTGGGAGGAGATAGGGCTGTGTTTGTCGGTATAGTAGAGTGTCAGTCGATTCCTGTGTCGCGGCATGCAAATGGAATGCATAAAAAAGCAGCAGAGGTGGTGTCCCAAGGGCCCCGCACTGTGACCGTACACCAGGATTGGGTCTTGCTGCAGAGGGTGCCTGCTGGGCAGGAGCTTGACTGAGCTTGACTGCCTCGTCTGATGCTTTTGACACATGCAGAGTGAGCTGGCTGTCACTCTACCAAAAGCAATGGATACCGAGAGGCAATATCGCCAAAGCAGTGCCGAAAGTGAGAAGAGCTTGGACCGGCTGTCCAATGGAGAGCGAGCCTTTCCAAGCGCCGTCTCAGCCCGCCGATTGGTGCCGTTGGCCAGACCCAGTGCCGAGAGAGTCCCGTGCGGCCCCCAGATTGATGGGTTGATGAGAGGCAGCTGTCACAGTGCTGCGATCACCCGTCCCAAGGGTCTGGTTGTCGATATTAAAAAGCTTCACCGGGCGGGATTTGAAACAATGCCGAGTGTTCGTACAATGGAGCGGCGAAATGCAAACATTTTTTTTGATGAGATAGATCAATCGGGCCGTAACGGCTTTCAGGTCGCCAAAGTTTGGTACACTTTATCATCTCATCAGTCGCGTCGAGCCAGTCGAAGTCCTGAATGATGAGGTATGGCACGGGGGGTAGCGCGGTCATGAATCCCCCGCTTCCGTGAGATAATGTCAGCGGTATTCCAGCATCCAGGCAATGTTGCATGAAACGGAGCCCTTCTGCCGGCGCGGTTTCCGAAGCAATTTGTCGTCACAGATGCACTAAGAAAGATAAGGAAAAGGTGCTGACACTTGTCTTACCCACAAGCTTGACCCTTGTGATTGCCTGCCCAGGGGCCCGGGGCGCTGGAATGCTACAGTGCACGCACCGTTTGTTGGAGAATCATTGGATGCCAGCGCCAGGGATCAGGAATTGAGCTCTCCAACAGCAGTGTAACCCTAGACCAGAGCAAACCTAGCGGGCCGGCATCCTGCTTGACTGACGGCTGACACGCTCGAACTGGCAGCTGCTCCAGACCCAGCCCATGGCTTTTCCAAGAGCCCAATTTCAACACTACCTGGGCTAGTTTCTTACACTAGCAGTCCCAGCCGAACCCGAGGATAGCTCAGTCCATGCTCCAGCACACTGGTATCATCTGTCGTTCTGGTTAGAATCAATTAATGGTTGTTTCCAGTCAATGCTCTGCCGACAGTCGAACCCAGGCTCTTGCAAGTGTGAGCAGTTAGTCCACAGAAGGCGCAGCTTACAGAAGCTGACTTCGGTGTGGGCAGTTGAAAGTGGCTAGCGCGGATTTGACTGGACGACGCCGCGCGCTTCCTCTTTATCACCTCTCCGAGGGCTTGGGTCACCCGCACGTCTTCAGTCAGGTCTCCAAACAGTGCGAGCACAAAGGCGGGCCTGGGGTGAGCAGCCGTCCAATGACCGAGCTCGAGGCAGCTAGCGTACCGCGGGCTTGTTCCTCGTCCCAGTTCATTGATTCCCAGCAACTGGGAAAACCGCTCGCCACCTGACACCAAGAGCATCCAAGCCGACACCTTTCTCAACCTGGTCTAGGCTCTCTTTTGCGTGTTTGAGCAACTGAGACAGGGCAGGCCCTTTTTCCTCCTATCTTCTGTTCTTTCTCGAGCCCTTCTGATCGGTCAGAGCCTCTGTTGTTATTGATCACGAAACGAGTGCGGTGCGGTGGTCTGGATGTTTGATTGCAGCCGACATCTCTATCCCCCGTCTGCTGCCAAGTCCCGACGACGAGCCACGCCGGTTCAGCGTGGCCGCCACGGCGCTCAAGCCCGCGCAGGAATAGCGCAGGAAAACGCCCATGTCCTCATAAAACCATCGGCCTCCCCCTTCCCCCCATAAAACCGTCCCAACGCTGTTCCCCCGTATGCCGTCGCCCGTCCAGCTGGGTCGGTTAACAAGAAAAGCGTCAATCAGCCATGTACGGCCCATCCGTACACTGGCGCTCGACGCTCAACCACAATGCAGAGGACAAAGACAACCGAGACGAAGGCCGAGCGCCCCGGCAAGACAATGAGCAGCAACACCAAGATGAAGGCCAGCAGGAGGAAGCCGAATTTGCGAGTCGAATCGAGGAGTGGAGGAAACAACGGGCCCAGCGCCAAAACCGAGATCACCAGCACAATGGACAGCGCCATCGGAGACATAGGGAGAAATCACGCCAGCCATCATCGTCGCCGCAACCAACCGATTCGCCGTCGCCCGACCTGTCATCTGGGAACGCATCACCTCCTGGGCGATCAACCGTTGACAAGCTGGCTCGCAAGCTGAGCAAGCAAAACCTTCAACACAACAGCCGCGTGCATGCACAAACTTCAAGGCAAATTGCCCCTTCACCATTGCAATCGATGCCTCCTGTTGTGCCCGAGACGCCAGTCATCGTCCCAGAGACGTCAACTGTTGCCTTTCCTGCATACCTGGAGGTGGATCAACAATATCAGCAACCCACACCACCCCAGCCACCTAGTGTTTCACGAGGTACCGGCATTGAAAAGCCCGAGGACAAACGGCTCGAGTTTAAGAAGCTGCGTCGACATGCCAGCGCGCGTGCACTGGAGGCTCGCCTACAGGCCATGATTGACAGCGAAACACAGTGCAATGTACGCAGCGAGCCTCTGCCACCACCGCCACCTACCACGACCATGGTAAGACCGTGGTTGGCACAGCCACCTGTGGGTGAACCTGTCTTTATCGAAGTTGATCCGGACTGTACGATGCCAACCTGGGACGACACCTTGGAGGTTGACGAAAACGACACTGGTGACATGCCTATTGAGGATTTGGCCACATCTTCACGGCACGCACATGCTCCCAGCGGTGTCAGAAAACACTCGATCGGGGGTGTCGCCCTGCGCTATCGGCTGTCAGTCGACGCGGCTCTTCGCTGTCAAAACGTGGTTAGAAACCGTCCTAGGATGCGCAAGAGGGACAAGTCGCGCCATGGAAGCACCGTGTCATCCGCCATGACCTCGGCCATCTCTTCACCTGTCATTGCACCCACTATGCCTTCATCCTCGTCCATGCCACCGCCACCAGCCTATACTCAGCCATAAAACGGGCCATTCTTTGTACGATCTGGTTTTGATATTCAACATATATGGATATATGATACCCCCAACCAACCGATCTCATCTCACTACCTACGAACCTGCGGTCATTTGCTTATTACAGCGAAACTTTTTTGGATTTTTTTTTATCTTTTATCTTTCTGGAGTTTCAACAGGAGTTCAAGCGATGATCCAAGGCTTCGGCGTCAGGGGTTCAAGGAAAGAAGCATGTGTAGCTTGTCTTGATTGTTGTTTTTTTCTTGCATATCTTCAGGAGTTTAGGGGTTCTTGTTTTTGGGGGGCAAAATTTTGGGGAATACCCGCACCACCATTTACACGGGGCGTTGC